CAGAGCTCCCCCTGGCCGCCCCCCTGGCCGCCCCCCCGGCCCCCGGCCCCCGCCCCGGCCCCCGGCCCCCCCGGCCCCCGGCCCCCGGCCCCCCCCGGCCCCCGGCCCCCCCGGCCCCCCCGGCCCCCGGCCCCGGCCCCGGCCCCCGGCCCCCCCGGCCCCCCCGGCCCCCGGCCCCGGCCCCCGGCCCCGGCCCCCGGCCCCGGCCCCGGCCCCGGCCCCGGCACCTCCGCCGCCGCCGGTCGCGGGAGGCGCTGCGCTGGTCCCGGTTGCGCCGGTCGCGGCTGCGGCTGCGGCGCTTGCGGTCCCGGCTGCGTGAGCGGCTGTGGCTGCGCTTCCGGTGCCGGTTCTCCTTGTCTCGCTCTGGCAAGGGGGGGAGGATGAGCTGAGGGAGGACGGCCCTGCCCGCCCACACTGGGGGCCAAGCCCCCGCCCAGGGAGGCCACCCCGCCGGGCGGGGGGAGCAGCAGGCTGCCTGGGTCCAAGGCCAGTCCGGCCGGACCCGGACGGACGGGAGGCGTTACCTGCGGGGACGGGCCTGGAGGTGCCCCCAGGGTGCAAGGTACCTGAGCGGCTCAGGAGGAGCTGGGGAGCCAGAGAAGACAGAGGGGCTGGCGCCTGACCCCAGGGTCGTCCCTGCGAGGGGCAGGGCTAGAGGCTGGGGAACCAAGAGACCCAATGATGTTTCCCGGAGGGACCGGCGGCCCCTCAGGAGCCGTCCCCGCCACCAGGCGCCCCTTCCCGCCCCGAACCCGACCACCCGGCCTCAGACCCAGTGCACAGCTCTGGGGGGGGGGGGGGGGGGGCAGACCTCCCTCACCCCCTCATTGGGGTCGGCGCCCAGGAGGGGAGCACACCCAGCAAGGCCACAGCGCCCTCCGCTCCCAGACCCCTCAGCCTCCGAGGGGGCAGGCTGAACCCCGACCCAGGGCACGCGAGCTCCCCCACCCCGTCAGCCCATCCCAGCCTCCCCCAGCCCCCTCCCCCTCCCCATGGGCCCCCCACAGCCGTCAGCCCTGCAGCTGGCTCCTGGAGCTTTCCCGCTCGGGCAGGGGTGGCATCTGCAGGCCTGGAAGTGGCCCTCGGGTTACTTTCTGGCGTAATTAATTACGAGCGTTTTGTGCCCGCCCCTCAACTCGTCACTGACACCCGGGAATCCCTGCCTACACAAGGGGAGACGGCAGCAAGCACCGAGTGCTCCCAAACCCAGCATCCGGCTAAATACAGAGTATTTATGACCTCTGAACACATAATCGTCTGGCCGCTCGGTGTGTACCCTATATAACAAAAGGCTAACATGCAAATTGTCCCCTCCACCAGGTTCAACCAGCAGGCAGGCTGGCCAACCGCCCATGTCCCCTCCCCCTGGCCAGGGGGACCGGACCCATCCACGCACCAATTCACGCACCAGACTTATAATGTGTAAATGATGTACACATATGTGTATGTGTTACACTCACACACTGAGCGGCCAGATCATCAAGCATTCAGAGGTCACTCGCCCTCAATCCTTACTTCCACTTTGGGGAAACCCTGCTGGGGGCTGTGTCACAGGGAAACTGAGGCACGGCGCTCCATGACTGGCCCGAAGGCCAGAGAGCAAGGAAGCGGAGCAGCGGGACAGCCTTGCGGGTCAGGGAGCTGGGGCGGCAGCAGGCCCCTCCCCGGCTCAGGGAGCGCTTCTGCGCGGGGCCTGGATCGGCCACTAGTGACTATGGGGTCACCTCCTCGCCGGCAAAAAAGCAGAAATGGCCCAGAAGTGGAAGCAGGAGGGGAGGGTCAGGCCAGGCCTGGCAGCACACAGGGACTCGGGCCCTGGGCCTGAGGCCGGGCCGAGACAGGCGGGCCGGCGGCTCCCAGCCAGTCTTCCAGGCCCACCGGGAGGCAGGGGCCTGGGCCTGGGAGGCGGAGAGGGCCTGGCTTCCCGCACACACAGGTGCACATGGCCGGAGGGGCTGGGGCAGACAAAGACCCAGACGGGCAGCGCGGGTGGCCCCCTGGCGAGGGCCTCGGGCCGGGCCTAGGGCACCAGCCCCCCGGCCCCGGGCTCTCCTGCTCCGCCCCTGACGCAGCAGCACCCACCTCTCCACCCCCTCCCAGAGGCGCCTTCCCGGCGGGACCCCCTGCGAGCCGCGGCCTCCCCGCGGCCGGAGGCAGAGAAGCCCTCCGGGCGTTCACTGTCCGCACCCCGGCACCGCTCCGCCCGGCCCACCCACCCCGGGAAGGCCTCCCCTCCTCCCCGCGGACTGAGGGCACCTGGCTCGCAGGCCCCGGAAGGCCAGACACGGGCCCCCTCCCCGCCTCCCCGCCTGACCCCGCAGCCCCAGGGGCATGGCCGCCCCACAGGAAGCCACGGAACAGGACGGGAGCCCAGCTCCGCCAGCGGGTCAGCGGCCCCGCGCCCAGCACCCAGGCTGGGCCCGAAGGCGTCACCCCGCCAGCCCCGCACCCCCGCGGAAGCTGCAGCGCCCGCCGGCCCGGCCTCGGCGTCCTCGCTCCCAAACTGAGGAGTGAGACCCGAGGGGCTGTTCAGCCCCTGACGGGCCCCCAACTCCCACTCCCGGGGTCTCCAGCCCCCCGCCCCCGGCAGCCGGCGGGGCCGGGCCAGACCTGGGGTTTGTGTCTAGCGGGAGGGGCGGGGGGGGATTAGGGGCTAACACTCCACATTGCCGCCCGCGTGTTAAGCAAGACGTAGGCGTGGGGCACACCTTTAAAAAAAAACAAAAAACAAGAAAAAAAACACCACAGGGCGCCCCTTTCGCGAGGAAACCGCGCGTCACACGCCGGGCCCCGAGGCCCCCAACAACAGCGTGGGCGCCCGCCGCCCGGCCCGCCGGCCTCGGCACACGTGGCGGCCGCGGGGGGCGGGGGAGCCGGTCTCCACGCCGCGGCCGTGCCCGCGCCCACGTGAAGCAGCGGGGGGGGGGGGGGCCGCGCCACAACCGCCATTTTGGAACAAAGGGGGCGTGGAGAGACCCGAGCCGCGGGCCCGGCCGGAAGCGGAAGTGCCTCGGCCGAGGCAAAGAGGGGTCGCGGGGGGCCCGAGGTATAAACACCCTCCTCCCCGGGGCAGGAAACATGGATCCGGGGCGGACACGCGGCGGGGCCCGGGCTGCGGCGCCGCCTCCGCCGCCGCCCGGGACGCAGCGCGGAGCGGAGCGCGCATGCGTGCTGCCCGCGCCCGCCGCCGCCGCCGCCGCCTCCCGGCCGCGCGCCGAGGCACGCCGGGCGGTCACGTGGGCGAGGCGCGCGCCGCGGGGCGGTGGGGGTGGGGGCGGCCGCGCGGCCCTGAGAGGAGGGGAGGAAGCGAGGGGGAAAATGGCGGGGGACACAGCGTAAGCCCGGGGCCCGCCCCGCCCGCCCCCACCCCCCGCGTCCCCGGCGCCCTCACCTTGCTTATTCTCGTTGAGCTGCCGCTCGAACTCGTCGAAGTCCGACATGCTGAGGCGGCCGCGTAGGGCCCTGTGCAGCTCTCACCTCGCCTCGCCGCCCGCCCGCTCTAGCCGCTTCGGCTACTTCCGCCGCTCGCTTCGGCTACTTCCGGCCGCCGCCGGCGCGCCGCCGCCTCCTGCCTAATCGAGCCCCGCCGGCCCCGCCCCGCCCCGGCTCCGCCCCCTCGCCCCGCCCGCCCGCCGGCCCTCCCGCCGGCCCGCCGCGAGGGGCCCCTTCCCCAGAGCCTGGTCCCGGAGAGCGTCAGCTATTTCCGGAGCGTAGAGGCAGGAATCGGGCGCAGCGGCTTCGGCTTGTTCCGAAAGCGCCCGAAGCGAGGGTCTTTGCCGGGTTCTCAGGTTGTCGTGATTTTTCGGAAATTAGCTCGTCCACGTTCGGGTGCTTCCGTGGGTCCTCGCCTTCCTCTGCTTCCAGCGCCCCCCCACCCCCGCCAAGGGTTCGGATTCTTCCGACAATTCAAACCGTCCGTCTTTGGCCGCTTCCGCAGGGGCCTCCCAGCGCTACTCCGCCGGCCCTGTCCGAACAGTCCGCAGCTTCCGACAGGCCTAACCGTCCTGGGACTCCGCACTTCCCGAAGGTTCCCGGTGTTCGCCCTCGGGCCGCGCCGGGGATTAAGCTGGATTCCAAGCTTCGGCTCTTTCCGGAGATTCCACTCGCTCCCTCCTTCCCTTCTCGCAGAACTTCGGCTCTTTCCGCCAACACTTCGGGGGAAGAACGGCTTCGGCTTTTTCCGTCGGCGCTTCGGCTCCTTCCGGCGTCGGGAACCGAAAAGGGAGGGAGGACGGAGACGAGGTGGGTCAGGGGAAGGGATCCGGGGGACGGGCGGCGTCCCGGACCCCCCCGAGGCGCTCCAGGTAGGGGAGTGGAGGAAAAGAAAGGCCGAGCTCGCGGAAGGCTTAAGAAGGCGGCGCGAGACAAAAGCAGCCAGCGAGGTGGCGGGTGCGCGCGGCTGCTGCGGAGGTTGGCAGCGCGGCTTGGTGCGCCTGCGCAGAGCGGACGCGTTCGGGCGCGAGGTGGGCTTGTGCGCCTGCGTAGTAGGTGGGTCTTAGGCGAGGCTTCTCCGGGCTCTGGGAGGGAGCCGGGGCCCCCAGAGTCCTCAGTGCGCGTGCGCGAGACTTTTCCCTTCCCCCCGCGAGAGTCCCGGATTCCTGACAGTTAAGCGCGGCCGCCCTCTGCTGGTTGCCGTAGCAACCGTCTCCGCGCTGCGCAGTCCTGCCGCCGCGCAGGCGCAGCAGGCTGCGCGGAGGACACTCCGGGAGACTAAGTCTTGCGTTCCCGCCTCCCGGCCGAGGTTCCCCGTGTCCCCCCCCCCGGGGCCGCCCCCCGCTGGGGGCCCTTGAGTCCCGCCTCTCGCCGCCGCGCCTCCGGGCCGGACCGCCTTTCCCCCGGAGCACAGCTGCTGCTCCCTCCCACCGCTGCCTCGGGGGGGAGGGGGGGGTAATGACACCCTGTCTCCCCAACTTCCCGCTTCCTGGAACCCCCCTCCCCAAGGTCCCGTCACCGTCTCCGTGGCAACCGCCACGCCCTTCCAGGAAGAGGCCGGGGCGTAGTTTATTCCAAATTTTATCGTCTCTTTAATTTAAATTCTCTGAATAATTAATTCTCTGTCTCATGTGGACTAGGGGGGGGGGGGTGGTCCGGAAGGCGGGTCCTCGGTCGGGGCTGGGGGGTCGGAGACCGAGTGTATGTACAGTGTCCCCGCCCTTTCCCCCCGGGAGTGAGGGCCCGGTGCGGGCGGGAGGGGTGCCGGTGTGGAGGGAAGAGCTGGACCGGGCCCTGGGAGCCTGGCCACGGGAGGAGTCCCCACCCCCAGCCCTGGGAAGGGGAAGGATGCTGGGAACGTGGGGAGCAAGGACGGCGGGGCTCTGTACCAGGGACCTGGGGTGCGAGTGGGGGGTCCGCAGGAGGGGGAGGAGAGGCACACGCAGGAGCACGCTGCCCGCCCCCCAGGCCTGGCCAGGGGCACCCCGTGCGCACAGCTCGCCGGCGGGGCGGGGCGGGGCCGGGCCAGGGGCATCACCGCTTGAAGCGGTAGGTGATGGGCAGCAGCAGCTTGCTCTTCTTGAGGGCCTGCACCTTCTTGAGCGTCTCGTCGTCCAGGGCCAGGAAGCAGCGGCGCGAGTACTCGAGCAGCCGCTCCTTGGACGGGTCGAACTCGCCCACCTCGGCCAGCTTCTCGGGCGCCACGATGAGCAGCTCGGCGATGGGCGTGGTCAGCGCCACGGTGTTGCGGTCCACGCGGTGGTGCTCGAAGGCCCGCGACATGCTCTTGAGCTTCTGGAAGGTGCCCAGGATCTTCTTGTAGCGGCACAGCACGCCGTCCGCGTCCTTCACTGCAGGGCGAGCGGGGCGCTGAGAGGCAGGCATGGGGGGCGAGGGGGGCGATGGGGAGAGTGGGGCGGGGGAAAGGGGGGGCAGGCGTGGGGACAAGAGACAGGCAGGGCCGGGGCCCAAACAGCCTCGATGTTGGAGTGAGGGGCTAACGGGCGGAGGGAGACGGGAGGGTGAGGATGAGGAGCCCCATGCAGGACCAGCCAGAGCAAAATGGCAGAGGCGTGAAAAGGATTGGAGCAGGTGGGAGAAATTGAGGCAGAATTGGGAGGAAGGCGGGGTGGGGAGGTGAAGGGGGGGGAGGAGCTCCAGAGCACCCGGAGGCCTGGGGAAGCTGGACCAAAAGGGAAAGACCAGCCAGGACCACAGGCGGAGGCCGGGAGCCAGCAGAGGTCCGGTCTGCTCAAGACACAGCAACCACCCCCCTGGAACCCCCGCCACTTCGCCCCTGCGCCCCCCTCACCCCGCTGCCTCTCCCGGGCCTTGGGCTTCCCGAAGCGCCTGCGGCCGGCGCCTCCCTTCTGCTTCTGCCGCCGCCGCTCGGGGTTGCTGCCTTCCTCCGACGCCCCGCTGAGCGAGGAGGCGGCCGACTCGGGGTCGGAGGCCTCGCCCGCTGCCCCGGCCCGGCCGTCGCCCTCAGCCCGCCTGGGCCCCGGCTTCACCCGGCAGTGGTCCTCTGGGGAGAGGTGGGGAGACAGGCGCACGTGACCTTCAGGAACAGGAGGGAGGCGGCCGTCACATCACACAGCTCCCTGCCCAGGTGGCTGGCTGCAGGACGGTCAGTTGGGCTTTGGGGACAGGGGTTGTGGCTGGGGTTTGGTTGAGGATGCTCTGCGGACTCCCAAACTTGGTGGGGAGAGGTCTGGGGGAGCCCTGACTGGTTTGGCTCAGTGGATAGAGCGTCGGCCTGCGGACTGAAGGGTCCCAGGTTTGATTCCGGCCAAGGGCATGGACCTTGGTTGCGGGCACATCCCCGGTGGGGGGAGTGCAGGAGGCAGCTGATGGATGTTTCTCTCTCATTGATGTTTCTAGCTCTCTATCCCTCTCCCTTCCTCTGTAAAAAAAAAAAAAAGTCAATAAAATATATATATATTTTTAAAGAGGTGGTGGGGGGGGCGCCTGGTGTGGCTCAGTGGATAGAGTGTTGGCCTGCAGACTGAAGGGTCCCAGGTTCAATTCTGGCCAAGGGCATGTACCTTGGTTGCGGGCACATCCCCAGTAGGGGGTGTGCAGGAGGCAGCTGATCAATGTTTCTATCCCTCTCCCTCTCTGTAATAAATCAATAAAAAGTGTATATATATATATATATATATATATATATATGAAAATAAAAACAATAGCTGAGCGTTGACCTAGGAACCAGGAGGTTCCTGTTTGATCCCGATCAGGACACATACCTGGGTTTCAGATTCAGTCCCCAGTGGGGCGTGCAGGAGGCAGCCGATCAGCGATTCTCTCTCATCATTAACGTTTCTCTCTCTGCCCCTCTCTCTGAAATCAATAAACCTATTTTAAATGATGAAAAGATTTGGCAAAGGAAAGCCCGGACCACCTGGGGGAAGGGGTGGCCAGAAGCAGGAAGGAAGCTGTGGTCCCAAAGGCAGAGAGGCTGGGTCCCCACTGGCCACCAGAGCATGAGTGTGTGGGCGAGAAGGGTGGGAGCGGGGGGGCCTGGGCCCAGGAGGGGTGGGGAGGGCACTGCCCCCCCCCCCCCCCGCCGGGCGCCCTCACCTGCGTCCATGCGCGCGGAAGAGATGAACTTGTCCAGCTGGCAGCGCAGGAAGTCCCTCTCCTCCTCCAGGTCCTCGATGCGCTTCTGCAGCCACGAGTTCCGCTCCAGGGCCATGTGCAGCTGCGCCCTGACGCCGCTCATCAGGGCGGCGGTGGGCGACGCGGCCTCGGGGGGCTCTAGGGTGGAGAGCGGGGCCCCTGGTCACACACCCCTCCCCCCCACTGCAGTGCCTCCTGTGCCCCTCCCCCAGCTCACCCTCGAAGCCCCGAGAGGGGCTCAGGCTGCAGAAGAGCTGGGGGTCCAGGTGGGGCGCCTCCTCCAGGGGGATGGAGATCTCGAAGGCCTCATCGTCCTTCTTCACTGGAGAGGAGAGAAGGGGGTCGGCCCAGGGAAGTGCCCCCCTTCCCTCCCCCGGTCCCAGGCCCAGCCCCGGGGAGAAGAGGGCGGGTGGGGCAGGGCCCAGCGTCCTCACGCGTCCTCCTCCGGCTGCTCCGGTCGTTCATGGCGCGGCCTCCCGCGGACCCGGGCCGCCGAGCACCTCAGGGACCCTGGGCGGAAAGAGCAGACACCCCAGGAGGTGGGCTGGCTCCTCGGGACTGAGGGGGGCTCCTGGGTCTGATGGAGGGGGGGACCCAGAGCTCTCGGGGCTGCTGAGGGAGGACTCCGGGGTCCCAGGGTACCGGGGCAGGAGCGCGGGGCCGTGGAGGGGACATCCTGGCCAGGAGGGGTCACCCCGGCGGCCCACAGGTGCGTGGGGAGACGACCCCAACTTCCAGGCCTGGGGTGGGGGTCCAGCCCACGCGCCTCCCCCGCGCTCGCGGCCGCCAGCATGCCCTTCCCCGTGGTGGTGGGAGGCTGGGCGCGTGCGCAGTGCGGGGGAAGGTCACGCGCGGGGATGCGCCCCCGCCCTTTGTCCCGCGGGCGGGCGGGCGGAGGACGGAGGTGGCCAGAGGTCCCAACGCGGGGTGCGCCAGCCCGCCCCCCCGCAGTGCCCGGGCCCCGCGCTCACCCACCCCGCGCGCGCGGAATCCGGCCGGAGAGCCCAGCGCGGCGGCGGCGCCCATGCCCGGCGGCGGGGAGCGGGGGGAAGCGCCCACCCTCCGGCGGGGGCGGCGAGGCGGGCGGGACGCGCTCCGCATCCGCCGGTCGGTCGGCGCGCCTCCCCCGGCAGCCGGGCCCCAGGTGAGCACCGCCCGATGCGGCGGAGACCCGGGCCGCACTTGCGCGACGGCCCCTCGCAGCCCCCGCCCCCGCCCCCGCCCTCCGCCAGGCGCGGGCAGGGAACGTCGTGAAATTCCCGATTCCTGCAGAGCCGCTGGCTCCGGGGCCCCCGGGTGGTGGCCGCGCGCCCAGTCGGGTGGGGGACAGTCAGGAAAGTTAGAGGCCGGGGAGGGGGTCCCCCTAAGCGATCAGCTGAGGCTCACGGCCCCCCAGGACCCTGGGGGAGGGAGTGCCCCTCCCTGCAAATAGGGGCCTGGAACCCCCGCCCAGCCCCGTGGGTGAGGACCGGCTCCCGAGCGTGCAGACCTGGGGCCCGGCCGCCGCTGCTCCGGCTCAGTTTACTCACCTGTAAAGTGGGGCGGGTGCAGTGACGTCACACGCAGGCGCCCCGCCCCGCGCACGGCACAGTCGCGGCTGGAGATGAAGGTCGGGCACCGTTATCCGCGGATGCCGCGGGAGGTTTCTCTCCCTCGGGGGCCGGCTTGTTTGTTCTTCCGCTCAAAGCGGGGTGCGGAGAAGCGACCCGGCACCGAGCAGAGGCCCAGAAAGGTTCCTGGGGAAGCCGGGGCTCATCCCGCGCCGCTGCAGCTCCGCCCGCCTCTCCTCCCCCACGTTCGCCGGAGCCTCCGCGCCCTGGGAGCGGTGCCAGCCCTCCCGGGAGCGCAGCGGGAGCCCTGCGGGGGGAGGACTGGATGGCTGTGCCCGGCTCCTGCCCGCTTCCCGGTACAAACAAGTGCAGCTTCACCGGAGCGCCCTGGCCGTGTGGCTGGCTGGTTAGAGCGCCCTCCCCTCGGCGCAGGGTCTGGGCCTCCGTCCCCCGCCGGGCACACGCCCAGGTTTTGATCCCTGGTCGGGGCATTCACGGGAGGGAACAGATGCGCTCTCTGGAATCAATGAGAAACATATGTTCGCGTGAGGAGATTTTATTTATTTGTTTAAAAATATCTCACTCGAGGATGTTTTTCCATTGGTTTTTTAGAAAGAGTGGGAGAGAGGGGGAAAGAAACATCGATGTGAGAGAAACACATGGGTGGGTTGCCTCCTGCAGGAGCCCTGACCAGGGCCCAGCTGGGGAGAAGCCTACAGAGTACGTGCCAAGCCAGTGCTCTATCCACTGAGCCACACCAGCCAGGGCAGGATTTTTTTTTTTTTTAAGTCCAAGGGAGGCATCTGCCCTCGATGGGGGCTTTTCACACCACAGGCCATGGGCGGAGAATTCAAGATCGTAGGTTGGATCAGCCATTAACAAGTCACACATGAGCCCCGACTGGCAGGACAGTTGGCTGGGCATCTTCCCATCATGGAAAGGTTGGCTCTTCGGTTTCCTGTCAGGGCATAGGGGCTGGGGTTTCAGGCTTGGCCACCACCAGGGGGCGCAGGAGGCAGCCACTGATGCCGTGCCCTCACATTGATGGTTCATTCCCTCTTCCTCTCCCTTCCTCTCTCTCACTCAAAATCAGTTTAAAATATTTTTGAAAGAAGTCATAGGCCCGGCTGGTGTGGCTCAGGGGCTGAGCGTCGACCTCTGAACCTGGAGGTCCCAGTTCGATCCCCAGTGTGGGGTGTGCAGGAGGCAGCTGATCCATGATTCTCATCATTGATGCTTCTCTCTCCCTCTCCCTCTCCCTTCCTCTCTGAAATCAATAAAAATATTTTTAAAAAATAAAAACAATTGCCCTCACTGGTTTGGCTCAGTGGATAGAGCGTCAGCCTGCGGACTGAAGGATTCCGGTCAGGGCACAGGCCTGGGTTGCAGGCTCGATCCCCAGTATGGGGCGTGCAGGAGGCAGCCGATCCACGATTCTCATCATTGATGTTCCTCTCCCTCTTCCTCTCTGAAATCAATTTTTTAAATTATATTATTAAAAAACAAAACAGCCGAAACCGGTTTGGCTCAGTGGAGCGTCGGTCGGTCTGCGGACTGAAAGGTCCCAGGTTCGATTCCCGTCAAGGGCATGTACATTGGTTGCGGGCACATCCCCGGTGGCGGGTGTGCAAGAGGCAGCTGGTCGATGTCTCTCTCTCATTGATGTTTCTAGCTCTCTATCTCTCTCCCTTCCTCTCTGTAAAATAGGGGTGTCGAACTCAATCAGAGAAGGGGCCAAAATCTAAAATCCAGCCTAAATCGCGGGCCGAATGGTTTACTGAACAGTCATAAACTGTCATTGTGATGGAAACGCAGCGGAGTGCAGTGATGACAGCGCGGTGTGGGCCACATTGCAAGGCCTGGCGGGACGGATTTGGCCCGCGGGCCTTGTGTTTGACACATGTGCTGTAAAATATCAATAAAATATATTAAAAAAAAAAAAAGAAAGAAAGAAACATGTGAAAATCTTAAAAAAAAAACAAAAAAAAAAACTGCCTATGACACAGGTCCTCGGGGTCAAGCACAGACGAACCCCTTCCCCAGCCAGACAAGCCAAAGCCCCACAGGGCCAAGCACTTGCCGTGTCTCCCTGCCAGGCAGCGGATTGGACAAGCCTGGGTCTGGCCCTGGCTGGTGTGGCTCAGTGGATAGAGCATGGGCCTGCAGACTGAAGGGTCCCAGGTTCTATACCGGCCAAGGGCACATGCCTAGGTTGTGGGCTCAGTCCCCAGTAGGGGGCGTGCAAGAGGCAGCTAATCAATGATTCTCATCATTGATGTTTCTCTCTCCCCCCTCTCTCTCTCTAAAATAAATATATATATATAAATATATATATATATATATATATATATATATATATATATATATATATTTTATATTTTTTTTTATTTTTTTAAGAAGCCTCTAGTGCACAAAGTAGAAAACGGGTTTATTGGGTGTCTACTCTCAGGCCCTGTGTGGGAGGTTGGGTGGGGGGGGGGGAGAGCAGGTCTGGAGCCCCGCCCCCAACATCCATCCGCTCGGAGGCCTCAGCCAGATGGAGTGGGTTCGGGATGGCCCCCAGCCACATCTGCAGGCCGGGGAATGTCCACGCCCAGCGGCCTCCCCCAGGGCCCAGCCTGGCACAGCCGATGCCACTGAGGCTGGAGGCTCCACTCTGAGGACTGAGGTCTCATTCCCGTCTTGTCTCCAAAACACAGGGACCCCCGGCCGCTCCGGAGCCCCTCCCTCCGCGGGCCTTGGCCTCCGCAGCAGGCGGGTCTGTGTTTGCATCCAGCCTCGGGGGCCCTCTGGGTGTCTGAGGACCCCAGGGGTCCAGGCTCCCCCAGATGCCGAGGTACCAGGGGGTGGGTGACCTGCAGCCGGCCCGGCTCACGGGTGCTTCCACCGCGTGTGCTTCTGCAGCGTGTTCTGGTCCATAAACCGGCGCGGGCAGTGCGGGCACGGGAACGGGCGCTCCCCAGAGTGGACCCGGCTGTGCTGGGCCAGCTCGCCCGCCTCCCGGAAGAGGCGCGGGCAGAGCGGGCAGCCGTGGGGCCGCCCCCCGCCGGCCCGGTGGATGGAGTGGTGGCGCGCCAGGTGGCTGGCCCTCTTGAACGCCTTCCCGCAGGTGTCGCACTCGAAGGGCTTCACCTGCGAGTGCGTGATGCTGTGTCGCTGCAGGTAGGACATGTACTCGAACACGCGGGAGCACACGGGGCAGCTGTAACCCTTTTTTGGAGCGGAAGTCCCAGCGGGCCCGGGCTGCCTCGGCGCCTCCTCCTCCTCCTCCACCAGCGCGGTGTACGGGACGCCCTGGGTGTCAATGAGCAGGTAGCGGCTGGGCCTCGGAGGGGACGAGGGCTGGGGGGATCCCGTGGAGGAGGAAGGTCTGGGTTCCGGGGACCGGCCTGCCCCCGGGGGCGGGTCCTCCATGGCCGCTGCCGAGGGCAGCGCCGGGGGCCGAGGGCAGGGGGGCAGCAGCACCAGCATCCGGAGGGCGGCTGAGGCCTGGCGGGTGGGAGAGAGGGGCCGTTATACGGAGGAGGGAAGCTGGGCCCGGGCTCCATCCTCTCCCCTCTGGGGACCCTGCCCGGACGCCTGCATCCTCCATCTGCTCCAGTCCCTGCGCCCCGGCCTCTGGAAGGCTCCCACGGCCCCCCCTCCCTGAGAAGCCCCTGCTATGGCCGGTCCGCCACCCACGGGCACACCAGGACCTGCTGCCTCCCCCTCTGGCGCCCCCAGGCCACCGGGTGCGCCTCTCCGCTGCCTCCCCACCCATCAGACCTCCCGGCCTCCTGGTCCCTCCTCTGCCGCCTCCGATCCCGCTGGGCCACGCCACCCAGGAGCCCGCCTGCCCCCCCTGCACACCCACCCTTCTCCGAGGTGCCACCCCGGGGCCGGCCGCCGCGTGGCCACCTCCCTGCACCTCTCGGGCCGCTCCCGCCGGGCTCGCCCGTCCCCAGAATCCTCCTAGTCCCGGCTCCCCCGGGGCCCACCCGCGCCCGCCGCCCCGCCGGGTGTGGGCAGAGCCCCCGAGCAGCCGCCCCGCCCCTTCGCGCGCGCCCGCCGCCTCCCGGCCCCCGTACCCGGTGCAGCAGCCTCTCCAGTCCGGGCGGTACGGAACGGGCCCGGGCTACCCCGCGGCGGCGGGACGGGGGCTGGGGGGGAGCTCTGCGGGTCCCCCAGGGGCTGGCGACGCCGCTAAGGGCACCGCGGACCGGGGGACAGAGAAGAGGGTCCAGGGGAGGGAGGGGAGCGGGGCGCTGGGGCCCCCGGGAAAGTGCTCCGGCCAGAAACACGCGCCCACAGAAAGGTTCCCAGGCGCCTGCGGCCCGGCCGCCGCGCGCCCCGGACGCAAAAGAGGACTCGACGGCGCGGTGCGGAATGTTTATTGAGAACGGGGGGCGGGGCGGGAGGGCAGACACATCAGGGGCCGCGCGTGTGCTCCGGTCAAGCCTCCACGCGTCCGGGCCCACGGCTCCCCGCTCGGGAGCAGAACACCGGGGCTGGGAGAGAGCAAGTCCCCGGCACAGGCTCCCGGGCGGCGGGGCGGGCACCCGGCCCAGGAGGGGCAGCGCCTGGGCTCACATCACACAGTCATGGGGGGAGGATCGGGGGAAAGGGGGATGGAGGAAGGAATGACGGCTCTCCCTCGGGGCAGAGGGGGACACTGAGGCCCGGGGTAAGGCACTAGCCTCAGCAGCGCCAGGGAGTGTGTGTGTGTGCGGACGCCGAGGCCCAGCGCCGGGCCGGGCTCAGTGGAGGCCCATGTGCTGCGCCAGCTCCGCGGCGTCCTGGAAGCGGCGCGGGCAGAGCGGGCAGGTGTGCGGCGGGCCGGCGCGGGCGCGGTGCGTGGCGCGGTGCCGGGACAGGTGGCTGGAGCGCTTGAAAGCCTTGCCGCAGGCGGCGCACGTGAAGGGCTTGAGGTCCGAGTGCGACACGCGGTGGCTCTGCAGCCGCAGGGGGCTGGCAAAGACGCGGCCGCACTCCGGGCAGTTGTAGCCCTTGCGGGGCGGGGGCTCCACCGGAGACGGCTCGCGGGGGGGCGGGCTCGGCGGCGGCTCCTCCGGCGGCGCCGTGTACGTGTAGGGGACCCCGTTGGCGTCGATGAGCAGGTGGGCGGGCGTCGGCGGCAGGGGCGCCGCCACCGCGGGAGGAGTGGAGGGAGGGCTGTCTGCCTTGGGGGACGGCGGGTCCATGGCCTCCGGCGAGGAGGAGCGAGGGTGGGGCGGCCGCGGGGGCAGCAGCAGCATCTGGAGCGACAACTGGGGGCGACGGAAAGGGGGAGAAGTTAGCCTCCCGGAGGACGCGGGCCCCTCTCACTGCTGCACCCCTGCACCCGGACCCACCTCCCTGCAACAGACACTGCCTGCAGCCAGCGCGCTCCGTGCCACCCAGGACCCCCACCTGTTCCTGCGGGGGCCCCCTCTAACCCCCGACCCCACAGAGGGCCAGTCCCGCCTCTCCCTACTCACAGCGGCCCGACTCCGGGCACGGCTAGTCCCCTCTTTACTTCGGGGCTCCTTTCATCTCAGGCCCGGGCCTTCGGGATTGGGGTGCAGGGCGCTCGCTCCCTCTTCCTCCCAGCCCCCCCCCCCGGACCCCGCGGCAGGGCCCCCCGGCTCTCCATCCCACCAGGTGCGCTGAAAACTCTCCGATCCCCAGGGACACCCGTCTCTCACCTCCCTCTCCAGCTACACCCCCCGAGCCCCACTGACCCAGTTCCCCACTTTCCCCCGCGGCTCCTACGCCCGCTCCCCGCGCAGCACCTCGGCCTGGGCGCCCCCGCCGCGCCCCGCTCCCTGCCCAGCGGCGGCCCTTCCCGGCGGCGCCCCCTGGCCCTGCGGCCCCTGCACCCGCCCGCCCCCGCCCCCCGCCCCCCGCGGGCCCCGCACACGTGCCCCTCCCCGTCCCGGTCAGCACCCCGGGCTCGGGAGTCCCCTTCCGAAACTACTCCGCCCAGCCCCCCGCGCCTCCTTCCGGTGGGAAGCGGGCATCTGTCTTCAGGTCGCCGCCCCTCGCCCCGCTATACCCAGCAGCCCCCCCCCCCGCCACCCCCACTTCCTGGGTGCATTCCAGGGTCCCCGCGCCCTTTCCCTTCGGCCGGCGCCTCCGTCCCCACCCCCACCCCCACCCCGGCTCCGTCCGACGCCCCGCCCCACCCCCACCGGGAGCGCCGGCCCCTTCCCGCCCCGCCCGGTTTTGCGCGGGCCCCGGGCCGGAACGGGCTCCTCCCTCCGTCCCGGCCCCCGTACCCGGTGCGGCGGCCTCTCGGGTCCGGAGGAGCAGGCCGAGGTCCCCGGAGGCCCGGGTTCCCCCTCGCGAGCGCCGGCGGCGACGGAACCAAGACTTCCGGGAGTTCCGGGCCGCCGGCGCCGGCGACGCGAGCGCAGGGGGCGCGGGCGTGGGGGCGCGGGGAGCGGCGGCGTCCCTGGGAAACGGCGCCGGCTGGAAACGCGCGCTCGGCCACAAAGGTTCCGCCGCCCTACTGCCCGCCTTTGCCCAGAGCCCTGCGGGGGGGGGGGGGGGGGGAGGAAGGGAGACACGGAGGGCCGGAGTGGGGGGCGTGAAAAGCACAGAAGCCCGCCCCCTACCCCCCTCCCATCCCCGACAGGCACCGCCGGGTCGCTGTGACAGGGATTGATTGGTAAGCGGGGGTCAGGCGCGGTGAGTCGGCCCAAAGTGCCACTAGGAATGGGCGCGCCTGAGCTGTTCCCTTTCCACTGGGAGCTCCCTCTGTGCCCCCTGAGCAACGGGAGGGGCGTGTCTGTGTGTGGGCCCTGGGAGGGGCATGAGCAAAAAAATCTCTGTTTGAGAACCACAGAGCATACCCACACCAATACACACATACACATACATGTTCCAGATATATTACACATGGGCATGTGTGTGTGCCTATATAAGCATGCCCACAGACACTCACATGCATGTATACATGTCAGAGTCATGCACATGTGTATGTGTGCATGTATACACAGGCTCACATGTGTGTTAGCGGATGACGAGTACTGTGGGGAAGCATGTAGAGAGGAGACTGGGACATGATACTATGTACGTATTCAGGGCGGTCCTCAATAACAGGTGACATCGGAGGAGAGATGTGGAGGGTGAGGAGTAGCCCTGCTGGTATTGGAGCCCAAAGCATTCCCACCAGCGAGCACACTGAGAGCAGGGCCCTTAGTGGGCAAAGGTGGGCAGTAGGGAGGCGGAACCTTTGTGGCCGAGCGAGGGAGCCCAGAGTAACTGGGCTGATGAGGTGGAACTGAGAAGTTGTAGGATCTTTATCGTCATCACAATCACCACCTCCATCATCACCATCACCAGGACCACCATGACCGTTATCATCACTACCATCATCATCTCCAGCATCATCACTATTATTATCATCACCACCCCCATTATCACTATTATCACTATCACAATCATCCTTATCACCATCATCATCGCTATTATCATCATCACCATCATTACTAGCACCTTCATCACTACCTCCACCATCATCTCCATATCGCCTCCAGCTTATGGCGGTAATGCTTAATCCCTTCACCCTTATCACTCATCACACTGTTGTCTGTGTCCATGAATCTCTTTTCTTTGCTTAATCCCTTCACCCTTATCACTCGAGCTAGGGCAAGAGACTAGATCTTATTTGTTCTCACCATCATCATCAACACCACCACCATCACCATCATCACGACCATCACCATCACCATCACCACCACCACATCTGCAGCATCACCATCACCACTTCCAAATCACCATCTCCCGTATCATCACTATCATCGCCATCACCATCATCATCTCAGAAGGACTCGGGCATTTCATCCTTCATAGCAGGAAGTGAAAGCAAGCTGAGGCGATCAAGACTGGACCTCCTGATTGTGTCTGTGTGTGTGTCTCCCCCACCCCTGCAGGTTGGCGGGATGTTACCTCACTCCTGGCTGCTGTGAGGACCTCTCTGAGGTTCTTATCAGCAACGGAAACCTGAGGACTCTGAAGCTTGGGGACAACAAAATACAAGATGCGGGTGTCAGACAGTTATGTGGGGCGTTGAGGCACCCTAACTGTAAACTGGAGAATCTCGGGTGAGTGTGTGCTGACGGTCTTTGTAGGTAAGCTTTCCGTTTCAAGAAGAGGAAGAGCTGAGGATTCCCAGCACAGAAGGGTCCCGAACCAAGTAAAATGCTGTCCTGGGAGACCAGGGGCTCCCGGTCTGGGCACTGCGTGGTGACGTTTGGGACTAGATCGCTCTGTGTTGTGACGGGGAGAGGGGACTGTCCTGTGCACTGTAGGATGTTAGGCTGCGACCCTGGCTTCTTCCTTTAAAATATATATATATATATATATATATATATATATATATATATATATATATATATATATATATTGATTTTTTTTACTGAGAGGAAGGGAGAGGGCCAGAGAGTTAGAAACATTGACCAGCTGCATCCTGCACACACCCCACTGGGGATGTACCTGCAACCAAGGTACATGCTATGACCGGAACCGAACCTGGGACCCTCCAGTCTGCAGGCTGACACTCGATCCACTGAGCCACACCAGTCTGGGCCTGGCTTCTTTCTACCCACCAGCTGCCAGTAGCATCCCCAGGTGTGTTGAATGTCTCCTGACATTGCCACGTGTCCTTCAGGGGACACAGGGGCCCCCGTTGAGAACCACGGGTCGAGACCACCAAGTCTCCTGCTCAGATGCGTGGAAGGGTGTTTCGTGAGGGTGCGCCTCCCAGCGCAGCCATAGCGGGCGGTCCCCCTGGTGTGCTTCTCTGTGGCAGGCTGGAGCTGTGTGAGCTCACCGCTGCCTGCTGCGAGGACCTGGCCTCGGCCCTCACCGTCTGCAAGTCCCTTGGGGGCCTCAACCTGGAATGGAACAGCCTGGACCGAGATGGCATGGCAGCGCTGTGTGAAGCCCTGGGCCACCAGGACTGTGCCCTGCAGCTGCTCGGATGTGGAAGCATGGACCTGTGGACTGAAGGGTCCCAGGTTCGATTCCGGTCAAGGCCATGTACCTTGATTGCGGGCACATCCCCAATAGAAGGTGTGCAGGAGGCAGCTGGTCAATGTTTCTCTCTCATTGATGTTTCTAACTCTCTATCCCTCTCCCTTCCTCTCTGTAAGATATTAAATTAAATTTAAAAAAGAGTAGTACTTAGTATTGTTTAGAGTGGACCTAATGAACACCTGTAGAGGGAATACTTGGCTCCCTTCCAGATGTTAGGCCCCTGGAAGAGCAAAATGGCGCATCTTGCTCCTGTTCATGTAGCCACTCTACAGGAAGGATTTGTGCTTTCTCTAAAAAAAAAAAAAATATATATATATATATATATATATATATATATATATATATATATATATATTAATGTAATGTATTGGGGGTGGCATTGGTTAATAAAATCATACAGGTTTCAGGCACACAGTTCTACACTACATCATGTTCATATTGTACTATAGGCCCAGTGCACGAATTTGTGCACCAGCCTGGCCTGCACCCTCTCACAATTTGGGACACCTTGGGGGATGTGGGACTACTGGTTTTGGTCCAATCCCTGCAGGCTAGACTGAGGGATGCCACTGGTGCATAAATCCATGCACCCGATCTCTAGTCTATAATAAAAGTATAATATGCTAATTAGACTGGATGTCTTTATGGACGAACTACTGGAAGAAGCTGGGGCTGCGAGAAAAGTCCAAGTCCCGGGTTCCAGAGGGAAGCCGATGCCGGCAGCCCGGGGAAGGAATGCCTACTCTCCCATGAATTTTGTGCATCGGACCTCTAGCATGCACATAAGATCTTTGGTTAATCTCTTCCTGCCCTCCCCCCTTCCCTCTGAGATTCATCTGTCTGTTCCATGTTTCCATGCCTGTGTGTTGAGTGTCTGCTTCCTGGGGTCAGTGCATGTCATAGGTACCGGTCAAATGGTCGAATGGTCGCTTAAGCTTTTATATATATAGATTGTGTGTTTATTTCTACCCCAAGTCAATTCTCCTTCCATCACCATTTATTCCCCCTTCCCTCTAGCAATCACCGCACTGTTATCTGTGTCCATGAGTCTTTCTTTTTTGTTTTTGCTTAATCCCTTCACCCTTCTCACTCAGCCCCCAACCCATTCCCTTCTGACAGCTGTCAGTCTATGCTCTGTGTCCATGAGTCTGGCTCCACTTCTCACCTTCCATGCAAGTCTAGGGGAGAGAGGCATTGGGGGGCAGAGAGGGCAAGGATGTCTATCTCCCCAGGCTGGACAAAGATGCATTTGATGAGGAAACCAGAACCTGCTGAGGGCTGTGGAAGAGAAGAACCTCCAACTGACCATTTGCACTAAACCTTGGGACAGAGATGAGTGATGCTGAAAGGTGTGTTCGTCTGACAGGGAGCACCTGGACGTCATCTCCTCCGGGCACATCCAGTCCTGCAACCTGGCCACCGTGGTGGTGGGCGCTGGGAGCTCCTAGCTGCTCCTCCACAGCCTTCTAGCCAAGTCACTGTGGTGTGTGAGTCAGCGGGGCCCTGCCGTCTGTGCCCGAGACCTCAATCCCCCATCCCTGAAATTCCCACCCCACCTGGTAATGCTTAGAAGAACAGACACATTAAAGGGATACACACTTTGAAAAGCATGCCTTCACTGTCTTCATGGATGTCTTTGAACGCGGGAGTGTGGGTTTGAGGGGACCAACATCCTTGAACACTTCTGATGGAGAAGTGATGCTACAAGGGGCCCATGGGTTTTAGATTCCATTGTAATCATGACAGCAAACATCCACCCACACGTGGCATTGTTAGTTCTCCAGTCTCAAGTTAGATTTTTAAAAACAAAATTTTATTGAATTTTTTTTTTACAGAGAGGGATAAAGAGTTAGAAACATCAATGAGAGAGAAACATGAACCAGCTGCCTTCTGTACACCTCCTATTGGGGATGTGCCTGCAACTAAGGTACATGGCCTTGAACGAAATCGAACCTAGGACTCTTCAGTCTGCAGGCCGACTGAACCAAACTGTCTAGGGCGGAAATATTTTGTAAGAAGTCCCCTTCCCGCCAAAACCGGTTTGGCTCAGTGGATAGAGCATCGACCTGCAGACTGAAAGGTTCCAGGTTCGATTCCAGTCAAGGGCATGTATCTTGGTTGGGAGCACATCCCAGATAGGGGGTGTGCAGGAGGCAGCTGGTCAATGTTTCTCTCAGCTATGTTTCTAGGTCTCTATCCCTCTCCCTTCCTCTCTGTAAAAAATCAATAAAATATATTTTTAAAAATAAAAGAAGACGGTAAGCCAAGGCTGTAGACTCCCCCCTGAAACTCTGCCCCATCCAAGCTGAGCACAGAGGCTTTTACAATTTTCCAAGTCTAGTCGATTTAAGGCTGTCTCCTGGCATAGACACAGCTGATCCTCACTGCCAACTGGCCCGTAGATCAGTTCCTCCCAGTGATACCAACAACAATCAAGACTTAACTACAACAAGGCTGTACACACAGTCCACAAAAGGGGGCACCAAGAGTGTCCACCTCAGGTAACTGGGAGGCGGACCCACTGAACCATATAGGACACCTTAGCACACAAAGCCACCCTATCAACTCAGGGAAGCAGTGAAAATGCCAAGACAAGGAAACAGAACACAAACGAAAGAAATGGAGGACAAAAAGCGACTGGATATAGATTTCAAAACCACGCTTATAAGGTTTTTCAAGAATTTCCTAGAAAAGGCCGACAAAATAAACGAGACCTAGGAGGATATGAAAAGGGATCAACTAGAAATAATAAGGAATCAACTAGAAATAAAGAATACATTGTCTGAAATAAAAAATATTACACAGTCCTAAACACAGAATGGAAGATCGCAAGAATCAAGTCAAAGATTTGGAACATAAACAGCCAGAAGACGCTTCTCTGCAGAAGCAAGAAGGCAAGAGAATCCAGAAAGTTGAAGATAATGTAAGAAATCTCTGGGACAACTTCAAGCAAACCAACATCAGAATTATGAGGGTCCCAGTAGAAGAGAGAGAGCAAGAGACCAAAAACATACTGGAAGAAATAGTGACAGAAAACTTCCCCCACCTGGTGAAAGAATTAGACTTACAAGTCCAGGAAGCGCACAGAACCCCAAACAAAAGAAATCCAAAGAGGACCACACCAAGACACATCATAATTAAAATTCCAAGAGCAAAAGACACAGTGAGAATATTAAAAGCAGCAAGAGCAAAGCAGGTAGTTACCTATAAAGGAGCACCCATACGATTGTCAGCTAATTTCTCAACAGAAACCATGCAGGCCAGATGGGAATGGGCGAAAAATATTCAAGGTGATAAATAGCAAGAACCTACAGCCAAAAATACTCTACCCAACAAAGCTATCACTCAGAATCGAAGGCCAGATAAAGAGCTTCACAAATAAAAAAAAAAGCTAAAGGAGTTCATCACCGCCAAACCAGAATTATATGAATTTCTGAAGGGGGTTCTTTAGGAAGAGGAAGAAAATGAAGATAAAAATTATGAACAACAAATATGTAACTATCAACAAGGGAATCTAAAAACCAAGGGAATTAAAAAATTTGATGATCAAAATTAACTGGTGAATATAATAGAATCAGAGGTATGGAAGGGGAGTGAACTGACGATTTTCGTGGAAAAGGGGAGTGAGGGTGGGTGCGGGAAGAGACTGAACATAAACTGTGCACCTATGGATGAGGTCAATGAGGGGTTGGGAAAGGGCAGTGAGTGGGGTGGGAACCTGGTGGAGGGGAGCAATGGAGGGAGAAAAAATGAGAAATATTTGTAATAATTTGAACAATAAAGATTTATTAAAATAAATTTAAAAAAAGAAATCCCCTTCCCAATGAGGCCCCTGCTGACCACCCACACTGCAATGCTCTCCTCTCCCAGCCTCTTTGCTCAATGGAGAGAGCAGCTCTGGGATTGAAGGTCACAGGTGGTACTCCAGTCAAGGGCATGTACCTCGGTGCAGGCTCCATGCATCCCTGTGCTGGAGGTGACACAGATGACTCTCTCTTACATGTATGTTTCTCTCCCTCTGCCTCTTCCCTCCCCCTTCTCTCTCCTTAAATGTCAATGGAACAATATCCTCGGATGGGGACAACAAACAAAACAGACATCTTCCCTCCCCAGACCCCACAGCGGACTCATTTCCATAGCACTTCCCACATTCTAGCCCCGATGCCTCACTGGCTCCAGGGAAGATGCAGCTGGTCTCTGTGCAGTAGAGCATGCGCTCTGGGAGGCGGCAGCGGGGCCTGGACTCAGCGCCCTGAGGTGGAGCCGCCTCACCTCCCGGGCCTCACAGACGTTGTGGGCTTCAGTGGAAGGTGAGACTCTCCACCAGCAAGTGGGCTGTGACACGAGTGACAGTGCGCATGTCCACAATGAAGCCTGTGGTAATGCAGGTGGACACAGTGTTGTTTAGACAGGAAGCTATTGGACACTCAGCAGAGGACAGTACAGTGTGAGCATGGCGTTCATGTACAGGAAGAAACCCAAGCAGCTGAGCCCGCTGTGTGTTCCTGTTAGAATAGCTGTGAGGTCAGGACCCGGCCTGATGTCCGTCCAAGGTCCCTGTGCGCTCCAGAGGGAACAGCAGCTGTCACACAGTCCCCAAGTCCAGGCTGAGAAGGTCACCATCACAGAACCCATCCCTGTTCCAGACACAGTGTCCTCATGGCTGTGGGCCCAGCACAGCTGTCCTGGGGTGGCTGGGGCTCAGGGTGCCCCCCGGGGCCCTGATTGCACTTGAATTTCCACAGCGCTGCTCCCCTAAAACTACAGCAGCCGCTCCCCACATCAGGGTCCCAGTGGGGCCAGCACTGTGAGAGACGGAGGCAGGCAGGGCTCAGTTTCAGCAGCAACTGCCCTCAGAGGCGGAATCCCGCTCCTGCTAAACCCTCGGAGAGCTCAGGGAAAGACGGAAGAACAGCCTGGCCCAGAAGGAGGCAGGAGCAGGAGGAGCCTGAACACCCAGCTCCACACCAGGGGCTCCTGTGAGCAGAGACCCTGGGCCTGTGAGACAGTGACGGGCAACATG